TATATATTCATTCTAGATGTCAATTTCAATTGGAAGAGTGATATATATTTTAATTGACCCGATAAAATGAAATTTAATTAAAACAATCCGGAAAATACAACTTTGGGGACCGATTGTACACTTTGGGACTTCTAGGGATGACCTCCCACGATTTTATACACTCAAGGACCATATTTTGGGCTGTGAACATGAGAATGATATGTGTGATGTGTGAGGGGATGGGAGAGACACACATGAAAGGTAAAGGGACCTCCTCCACATTATTATGGCATGATGACAAAGGATACACACTCTCACTCACCCACCCTCTCATTACTTCGATCCGAACCATCAAGGAAGAGAGGATAACCTCTGCAATTCATCATCCTCCATTGTTGATGCAAGCTCAAACCAAGTGAGGTCCAAGGAAGAAGAAAGAATGAGAAAAGAAGAGAAAAACTTGGAAAAATTAAGGTAATGACTTCAGTAGTATTTTTCCTTCCTTCATCTAATATCATATGATTTTATAAATCATATGATAGACCATAAGCTTGTTCTACACCCTTAGAAGTGTAGAATGAGGGGTTGGAAGGTTAGTTTTAACCATGAACGGAGTTATGACCGGAGTAAGACCGGTTTGCCGGAAAATACCTTCTTGGAGGGTTTTAATGTTTATACCACTTTTGGTTTGTGAAACCTTGTTAGGAATTTTACCAAGGTATTCTAGACATCTCAAGGAATCTAGGAGTGATTGGAAAAGTTGCCGGAGCTACCGGAGTTTTCGCCGGAAAATTCCAAAAGTTGACGGAGTTCAACGAAGAGGATAAAAGTTCACTAGCATCATTTCGAGGTGAGTGGACGACTACGTGTCTTGTAACTCTTGGGTCAAACGTGGGATTACCTAAATAAAATCATAATCATGAGTTGAGGAATGATTAAATGGATTAAAATGCATGATTAGTCATGGTGAATATGATTTATGGAAATATTACATGATTAATGAATAAGAGATTTATTTGTGGATTAATCATGAATATATTATTGTCAAATGTATAAAAATGCATACATGGACTATGTATGAGATAACTAGAGTAATCTAGTATGTGAATATGTATAGAAATGTTCAAAAGTGTTTAAACAAGTGATTAGCTATAATGATTATAAGTTATGTGAAAATGGCATGATTAATGAGTAAAAGAATTATTAATAATTTTTATGAAGGATAATCATGAATGATTTAGTTGGACATTAAATAAGGTAATTCAAGATGGTATTCTTGAAGGATTCAAGTACTTAATCATACATGTCATTAAATTAAATCTAGTTATGAAGAATAAACTAGAACGAAATATATAAACGATTAATAAGTATGAAGTACTTATTAATAGTTGTGAGAAGACAGATTTATGCTTTATAAAGTTTGAGTGAGGCATGAGATTACCTAAATTAATCAAGAATATATTTCAGGGAATGATTAAAGATAATCAAGTATGTGTTATGCCATGATTATATGTAAAATATAGTTGAAAAGCATGTTACGTAAGCTTGATGATTTAAAATGTGATAATTAATTATGTATGATGTTCCAGGGATCCAAAATGGTATTTTTGGATCAAGGACGTCAAGAAGTACATGTGTATAAAATTTCACGTTAATCGGACTTCGTTTGGGCGGTCAAATGGGCGTTGACCGCCAAGACAAAGGCGATACCCGACCGGGTATGGGTAAATACCCGACCGAGTTTTGATTAAAAATGGCTCCAGAAGCCACTGCCACACTAGACCCGACCGGGTATGGGTATAGACCCGACCGGGTCTCAAGTAAAATTGGCTCCGGGGGCTACTGCCTCACCATACCCGACCTGGTATGGGTAAATACCCGACCGGGTTTTGGGTTATACACCCAATATGCAGTTTTTGAGTAGGTTTACATGGGCCGTTCGGGTAGGACCCGTCCACGTTGGTTGCTAAGGCTTCGAATACGGTTTAAACGCTAAGACTTGGACTAGTCGTTAGTAAAGAAATTGTAGACCACGACTGGGCGAGGTAAGTGGTAGATTATACATGACGGGTGAATACTCGGGACCGAGTAAGGTCAGATAAAACTCTGTAGGACCAAGATGAGTCCTTTATACTCAAATGTTAACAAGGGCCCGTGTAGTCCTTGAGGTGTGTTAACCTCCAGCAAATTACACATAGGTAACAAGGGCAAATGCAGTCCTTGAGGTGTGTTAACCTCCATCAAATTGCATATAGGTAGCAAGGGCCCGTGTAGTCCTTGAGGTGTGTTAACCTTCAACAAATTACACATAGGTAACAACGGCAAATGCAGTCCTTGAGGTGTATTAACCTCTATCAAATTGCATATAGGTAACAAGGGCCCATGTAGTCCTTGAGGTGTGTTAACCTCCAGCAAATTACACATAAGTAACAAGGGCAAATGCAGTCCTTGAGGTGTGTTAACCTCCATCAAATTGCATATAGGTAACAAGGGCCCGTGATCCTTGAGGTGTGTTAACCTCCAGCAAATAACACATAGGATGAGTGTGTATGCGTACTCCTCAAGGCGGGGTTAGACCCGGAAATGTAAACTATGATTGTAAGGACGAATAGTCCCCGAGGTAGGTGAACCTCAAGTAATGATTTTAGATGATTAAACATGCGTGATCAGGAATGAGTTCCCGATAGGGTATTTTCCTTGGTCTAGGAATTTAATTTAAACCATGTCTCTGATATGGGAGCCCGAAGGGCCCCCACAATAATTCTTTGTTATCGGGTGAGTTAGCCTGCGGGTGACTTCACTCGAGGGTAGGACATGGGAAGGGTGAATTTAATGAGGCTGTTACACCTAAATGATTTGAAAGACAAATGGGTCCACGGGCCAGATATTTTACTCATATGTATATATGTATACGATATGTTTTGAAAAGGGGTAACCAAGAGTTATGCCTATACATATACTATCACCCTATGTTGAGAGTCCCATGTGAGAAACGTTAGTTATATTACATACAGTTTGCCCTCACCAGTACTTTTCTGTAGTACTGATCCCTCGGGGGAACCACCCTTTCAGGTTGAAGCTAGAGCTTACTTCCTACACCCGTTGTTCGGGAGATCGATGGAGAGAATACGTGGTTCGTGCTTCCTCTGGTTCTATTTCTAAATAATTAAATAATGCTCATGGAACTATTTTTGACTTATAAATTAATGGAGCCTGCGAGCTCTTGTTTTACCCTCGTGTGGGTTCTTATTAAACACTTATATTCCGCTATGTGTTTAATTGTATGTTGATGTTGTTATGTATGTTTACTAATCGGTTTTGGCATATGTATCTATCGGACGTCTTGTGCAATTTAGTAAGGACGAAATGCGGTTATTCTTATTGGGTTGTACGATGGTTGTCTACGTGGCACAGACACAGTCTGGGGCGTGACCAAGTGAGAATGTCATATTTACCCCAACGTGATGTGCAATGAAACTCATACTTTTCAGGTTGTCATAATATTTATCAAAATGTCACTGTGTTATTTAATATTGGCTTAATTTGAGCAAAGCTAAAAAAGTGAAACAAAAGCATTGTGCACCGCATTGATTTAAATGTTCTTTCATGTTCTCACGTTAAACATCGTTTTAATTGGAATCCACTCTAACTAAAGACATCCTTAATGTTTATTAATTGGTGCACCCTAGATTTCTTATAAAATTACATACTCCCCCCGGTTCTTTTTAAACTTCACATTTTCCTTTTTGGGACGGTCCAAAATAAACTTCACACTTCCTTATTTCCTTATTTGGCAAAGAAATCTACATCAAAACAGTGTTAAACAGTGCCAAACAGTATCTCAACAGTGCCAAACAGTGCCAAATAGTGTCTCAACAGTGTACTCTATAGTAAAGTCAAATTTATTTTCTTGATCAATGTGAAGTCAACGTGTGAAGTTTAAAAAGAACCGGAGGGAGTATATACAAAGCAACAAAGATGAGTAGTATCCTTAAATCCCATAATTATAAAGGGCGGGGGGTAGGGTTGTACTTTGTGTGTTGCTAGTAATAATCGGCTGAAAACTATATTTGTAACAATTATAACTGTCACAACAGAAACATTCCAAACAATTTCATGTCGTAAGTCATAACCAAGCCCCCATCAATATAAACGGATTCAAGTGCATTATTCCGTCGAAAAGATTGAAGGATGACACCTTTTTTATACTCCACCACACAATATCCACTATCTTAAATTGTGTGTCAAACCTATTTGAAAGTTATAATAGGAACGGAGATAGTAAGACATTACGGGACAGTATAGTTAGAGCATCTCTATTGAGATCATCATCATCACCCAGGCTCTCACACCTATGGTGGTGTAAGGTTTATTGAGATAGTGTAATAATATACGTAGTATTTAACCTCTTACGTAGATTTTCGACAAATGTTATAAGAGGTTACTATGCAAAATGCATAGAGCTTCTGCAAATTCTTGGGCTATAGTCTACGTGATTAATTAATGTTCAATTTAATTTACTTGCTCCAGTTTATTGTCCGGTCCGTGTTAAGGGTCCTCATGGATGAGATGTCATCCTTTTTGTATGATTGAATTTTATCCTACGTGACGTAAGTGAGATATAGAAATAGGATGATTATTTTAACTTAATATAGAGAAAGTGACATGTAAGGAAAAATGGAAAAGGGGGAGATAGGAATAAACTGTAGACATGAAATGTCTATGACAATGTCCACACATGGATTACCCACAATTTGAGGAGCAAAAATGGATGAAAACAGAATTTACAGTGATATAATATAATAATGAAAATTAAAATGAATATAAAGATATGTATGCCCTATACATAATAGTTATGAGATATCAAATGAGACTCATGTGTAAAGGTATGTAAGATGACCAAACATCCCCATTAGAGATGCTCATAGTTTGGAGGATCGTCTGAATTTTACATTTAACAGACTCAGTGCATTGTAGCTTTCTAATGTGCATTTAATATTTTTGGATGCATTCTTTTTCCGCTTAAAATTAGATCATCTCGACAAGAAGGGATTAATTCTTAAAGGATAAAATCGTAAAATATTGAATTAATGATCATAATTAAATACACATTACATGTCTAATATATACATTGGATAATAATAACAGGATGCATTGATATGTACCTTGGAATGCATGAAGGGTTAATTCTTCATTTCTCTAGAAGAATTTGAAAGAGATAAAGTAGTTTAAGACTTTTAACCATATATATACATCACCCGAACAAGAAACTGAAAAAAAGAAAATCCTAAGAATGGCAATCAACTTCCTAAATAAATGAATACTCGTAGAAAGTACTTTGTTGACGCCGCCGCCAAGAGTAAATTAAGAATTCGAAGTAATTGGATCTTGGTGTACGGCCGATTTCTGTCGACGATGCCTTCACGGCTGTAACCGATCCCACTCGTACTGACCTTCCAGTGGTTTGCCTTCCACAATGTCGAAGTTATACCTATAATAATAATTTAAAACCATATTCATGAGTTGTTCAATAATTCAAGACTAATACGAAGTATAAAACTGTTATTACACAATAAATAATTAATGTTCAATTATTTCAGAATACATTCATGGATCTTCAAACAAATTTTAATTCACTCAATATTTTAGTATGTTTTCAATAAGTCTTGTTTTAGTATTTTTATTAGACTACTTTTTTTTATATTATGTGGTAAACATAAGTTGTGTGTATTGAATACGAAGTATTACCTGAGTATAATCTAGCTTAATCTATTTAAGTCTGATTTGAGACTGAAATAGATGTAATAAAAATCTATACGTAGGCATTAATGAAATAAACATATACTTAATCCGTCTCCCTAAAATTTTCTAAAATGTTTGATCAACACAAAAATTAATAAAGTAAAAATTGTATGATTAAAGTTTGTGCAGAGAAGAAAAAATTAATTGGAACCACAAACTCTTTATTTAATAGGAAAAGGACAAAGTTAAAGTTAGTGGAATATTTTAAAAGGAAAAGTTGGTAAAATTTTAAGGGACGGAGTCAGAGAGATAGTACTAAACTTTTAACACACATAGACCTTTAATATTTTATTCCTTCTAAACTCCCCTTATACTTTTTGGCACATTTAATAACATTCAAATTGTTGAAATTAGAAGTGAATTAACCAAATTTAATAAATTATATTTAACACAAAGTTAATGCAAAGTTTGAAGAAATCTAAAATAGACTACTTTTTCAACAATCATTTGAAAACGGATTACTAACGTAAGTCTTTTTTATTTTTTAAAATAATTCAAGTGTATCTATTCAAAAATAATAATTTAGGTGTATGAAATCAAAATTTTGATACTGTGTCAAACGGACCCAAAAGAAAAAGGAAAAAACACAGGTCACGGTGTAATAAAGAAATCATAATGACTTTAATTCTGCTGTATTAAAAAGTACGCCTACTTTTCTGCAAATTGCTTCTGGATTTTTCTTTCGGCCACAGAAAAAAAGGCTTCCAGTTCCTCTCTGGACGGTATCTTCTCAGGTGTTGATTTCGTAAGATTCTTATCAAGAGAAGTAGCTTCGTCTTCCGGCGGAGTCGCCGTCGACTCCAGCTCACCCGGTTCTGCTTCGTACTCCCTCATCGGCGTCGTCTCCACGCTGCAGAACGACGTCACTCGTCGTATTATATTCGATCTCACATGATTATGAAATTTAATTAAATAGCACTTGGTGGAAATTTACCTCTTTCCGGTCTCATCGAATTTCCGCTTTGAACTCGTAACGCCTTCTTCCCTTTCTTCCTGCATAAAAAAAATTAAAAATAACCTTATTTTTTTAAAAGCATGGAAATCAACTACTATACGAAGATTCAAAAGGAAGTTTCACTCATCACTAGGTAAAATTGCAACAAATCGAAGTAGATGAGGGTTAACAAACATCTAGATCTGATAACTTCATGCTTTCCTGGATGAGTTCGCTCCGATCATAGCCACACACACAAGGCATGCCATGAACGTGATCCGACTGGGAGCTAGACGGAGAAAATGCATTTCTCGGTATGACTGGTGGTGTTTTCCGACGACGTTTCGGCTGAATCAAGGCCGTAGAAAGCTTCCATTCTCCTTCACCTGCTATCTTCCTCCAGTTCTGCCCTCTCGTTCCAAACCCATCTGTAACCTCTTGATCTCTCTTCATTGATTCTCAATCTCCTTCAACTGAGATCAATCTCTTCATCTGATCAAAACCTCACAACCTGCTGTCGCTCTACGCACGCACTTTAATCCATCAATGTCCTATTTGATCGATGTTCCTTCTTTCACGAAAACTGTTGGGCCAACAATGAACACCACATGTGAGTCTCCAACTGGAAGTCTGCAAATCGGATCAAAGTTCTAGGTGAATTGATTGATTAGCCCGTATATCTTATAAATCTTATGGTACGCGAATATCGCTGCAGGCTCAGAGAATGTTACCTTTCTTCTTCTTCTGTTGCGCTTTTTTGCTAGAGAGAGGGAAGATAGTGATGATTATGAGGAAGATACTGACATACTGTTGATTGAATCGGATTGGGGTCTTTATTGTTATTTGGCACATCCAGTTGTGAGATGGTCCATCTATTTTAACGCCGTCAATACCATAGCCGTGGAACTCATGCTCGTGTAAACGGGATTGATGCCGTGACGTTATGCAGATCTAGAGCAATCGGATGTATTGTTGTTTAGTTGGAACTTGGAACCTCCTTGATTACACTGTTTCAATTTCCGTTGACTACATTTCATGGAGTAATAGGACTAGATCCACAGCCTAATCAATCCATAACCTAGAGTCTGTCTGTCAATCCAGCGGAGAGCCTACCAGTCCGACCGACCTCTCAGCCCGGAAGAGCAACGGTCAAGCAATTAATGTGCTATTAATTATGTATTTAATTCTGTATTAATGTTGTAATTAATTAGTCATTATTATCGGTAGCGGTTACGATTCGTATACGCCTGTAAAAGGCTTATTGTAATTCAGATTAGAGAAGGCAACATATGCTATTTCTGACTACCAAATTTCCTTTGCAACTTTCCTTATTACTTTCTTGATTCTTGCTTGAGTGTCGTACGTAGCTTTCCTAAAAGCCTACGAGCGTCCTATTTTGGACCAACATTGGTGCTTTCATTGAGAGTTATCATTGTCTCTCAGATCACTTTAGTAGGAATCATAAAGAATGCCAGAAAGATTGTTCTCGAAATCTCAAAAAAGATGAACAAAACATAAGAATTTGGAATTTCAATCGAACGAAAGTTGTGCTCACCATCCAAGACGACAATGCACCGAATGTTGCACCTGATTTCGCCACTAACACTGGAGAGTCATTGTTCAGATCACACCAACACTGCTCTGGATCCCTGGTCCAATTCCCATTCTCCTAGCTCCTAACAAAGCTTTCAGTCCAAAAAAAAAAATTAGCACATCTGAAGGTGATGTTGTAGAGGTCAACCAATCTAATGATCTTGTCTCGAAAATTTTGAGCGAACTGGACCACCATAAGTGCTAAAAATCTCTCCTACGGTTATTTAGCAAAAAGATTTTTTAAAAAAAATCATAGATTGAAAACTTTGAAAAGATATTTTAAGTTGATGGAGTATATGGCCCGGGAACCCCCGGCCCATAGACTCCTACTACTCCAGTAAAGGCCCGACAGGCCCAGAAGGCCCAACAGGCCCAAATCACAGCGCCCAGAGTACCAAGCAGCCCGCAGTACGCGCCAGGGGTGCCTTCGGCCCCATGGCCGAAGGCTGGAACTCTCACAGAACGGGTTTCTCGAGCAAACTAAGAAACTGGGGGAAAAACGGCAGAAAACAGTAGCCCTCGGCACCTGGAGCCCTCGGTACTCAGGGGTCCTCGGCACTAAGAGCCCTCGGCTAGTCCTCTGCAGCCGAGGGCACCTCTCCCGACATGATATCCGCCTCACATACGTACAGATCACCGTACCCTGTACAGACGTCCCATCCAACAGCCGCATTAAATGCGGCCACATGCGGCTGTCAACGCCAACCAGTTGAGGTGACCTCTCGGCCAATGGGCGCTTGACACGTGTCCCTGTCCGGCATTTATTGCTACTATAAATAGCACCCCATTTCCCCATTTGTAACGACGCCTTAAAACGCTTTAACGACATTCATACTGAATACACTCTCTCTCTCTTACTTACTTGTGCTCTGACTTCTCTCTAAGTTATTCTCAGCAATAACCCTTCGGATATATACCCCCCGGGTAGACTATCCATCATTTGGTGCTCTCGTTGAGAGGTCGAACAATCGAGTAAGAAACCCTCCCCTTTCGCCAAACACTAGCCCTCTACCAAAATGGTGAGAACAACACGTGCCAACTCCAAAAACGTAGAAGACAAGAACCTGGCCCTCGGCGACGTCAACGCCCCCGAAGCCTCTCACAGGACTCCCAAGGGCGGTGTCATCGCTGGGCTGGAACAGGCAGCTGTCGACCTTCGCCTTCAGATCCAACAGAATGCCCCCGATGCCCGCCTCGGCATCGAGGCCAAGAAGAAAAACCAGAGCGATGACCAAGCCAGCCCTCCGGTTCTCACCATCGACGTACAATCGGCGCTCTCCGCCTTCATCCAAACGCTCACTCAGAACCCAGGTGCCTTCGGCACCCTGGCTCCGGCTCAACCCCAGGTTGGGGAGAACATCATACTTTCCCCTCTGCCACACCCCTTCGGAAACCCCATCCCTCGGGTTAGGAATGACGAAGGGGTAGTGGCCCAAGATACGTCCTCCCATGAAGTTCAGTCCCGGGACCGCCACAATGACAACAGAGGAAGGCCCCACACTTCCGCCCTCAACTGGCTCGGAGGAGGGCCAGACCGCCGGGGGGTCCAAGACCGCCTCGGAGGGAAAACACTCCAAAGGCCCCAGGGAAGCGGAGGGTCCGTCTCGAGGGCAGACAAGGAGCGTCCCCCTCGGGACAAAGGCAAGGCACCCCTTCATGTCGATGATGCTCGCCACCAGATCAACCAGGCCCACTCGGCCCGGGTTCGTTCGCAGGGGGCGGAGACCCTCCCGAAGGATCCTCGGGACGAGATTATTGCGGCCCTCCAACGCCGGCTTGACGAAATGGAGTCCAATAAAGCTCACGCCACCACCTCCACCCCTCATTCAGACCTCAAATACGAGGCCATGATGGCCAAAATGGAGGAATTACAGAAGAAGGTGGCCGAGGGCTCCGGGGAACCCGTCATCCAGCTCCGGACTCGGACGCCATTTACCCCAAGGGTATTGGCGGCCCGGATCCCGGAAAAATACCGAGGGCAACACATACAGCCCTACAACGGGAAAACGGACCCCCAGGAACACTACAGCAAATATCAAAACTGCATGATGATGGTAGGGGCGTCGGACGAATATTTGTGTCGTTGGTTCCTCTCCACCTTAGAGGGGCCGGCATACGAATGGTTCAACCGGTTGCCCGAGGGCTGCATTGATTCGTGGCAAGAACTCGCCCAGCGATTCTTGACACAATTTGCCGGGAGGCGTCGCACAAGGAAGCACTTCTCCCACCTCCTAACCATACGCCAGAAGAGGGATGAGACCCTTCGGGACTTCCTGGAGCGCTGGAGGACGGAAGCCGACAAAGTTGACGGTGCTGATGACAGGACCCTCCTGGCCCTCCTACAAACCGTCCTCCGCACCGGCAACTTTTCAAGGAGCCTCATCATTGAACCCCCCCCCCCCCCCCCCCCCCCCGCGACTACATAAGGGCTTTGCAGCGGGGGGACCGATATGCTGAGGCCGAGGAGGTGGAGAAATACCACCAGCATCCGGATCAGCAGCCCCCGAGGGCTGACAACAAGAACAACCGAGGTCCGGGGGCTCCTCCAAATCACCTTAAGCCTTCAGGACCCTCTGATGATCGCCCTCGGCAAGGCCAAGCCAAGCCAAGCCCGGGGGAGGTTATAAGAGCAACCCTAAGACTTGGGCACAGTCCATTCTCCTGGACCGCCCCCGGACACCATTGACGCACCCCGTCAGCATCATCCTTGATTTTGCCGAGGAGAGGGGCCTCGTTGAGCGCGATTCTCGCGCTCCCCCGGAGGTACATGCTATCAACCCTCAGTTTCCCTGCTGTCGTTTCCATCGGCATCAGGGGCACAGAAACGACGATTGCCACCAGTTAAAAACGGCCATCGAGAGATTGATACAAGCGGGGCACCTGTCCCAATTTGTTCAGGGCCCTCGGCAGGAGGGACCTTCTCATCAGGGGCCTCCTCGAGGGCACCACACGAAGGTGAACGCTTGGGTGAACCCGAATACCATCCCCCTCGGCAAGAAGAGGGAGATCGGAAACTTGGAGGAGGAAGAGGAGGAGTACCCCCACTACCAGGAGAAAAAGCGCCACATCCTCATGATCACCGGCGGCAACACAGGGGGCGATTCCACCAGCCAGCGGAAGAAGTGGGCTCAGTCGCTTTACGTGGGGGAGGTCACTCATATGCCCCCGGTAAAGCGACTGAGGGAGGAACCCATCACCTTCACCAATGCAGATCTCCCTCCTACTTCTTCTCCTCATAGGGATGCCTTGGTGATTCGGACTGAAATAAACGACACCATCATTCACCGAACTTACATTGACACGGGCAGCTCCGTCAATGTAATGTACCTCAGCACCTTCAGAGAGCTGCATCTGGAGAGGGGGTCCCTTCGGCCCATTAAGACCCCTCTTGCCGGCTTCACCGGCGATACTATTGATTCCGAGGGGGTAATAACCCTCCCGGTGATCTTCGGCGACGGGCTCCATAGGGCCCAGCTCGAAGTGGAGTTCGTCGTCATCAACATCGACTGCGCCCACAACATCATCCTCGGCCGGCCAGCCCTCGAGGACCTCGAGGCCATCATCTCCATGAGGCACCTCTGCCTCAAGTTTCCCGCCGAGGGGGGCATTGGCTACTCCCGGGGGAATCAGAAAATCGCCCGCGCCTGCTATCTTCAAGTCACTAAGAAGGTAAGTAAGACGGAATTCCGTGTTGACACCATCACCGGAACCGTCGACCAGGAAGAAAAGAGGCCGAGGGCTGAACCAGCCGAGGACGTAGAAGACTTTACGCTCGATCCGGCCCAGTCGGAGAGAGTCGTGAAGATTGGAGCCCAGCTCCCTGAAGATCTGAAGACCGGTATCACTGACGCCCTCCGCGCCTACTCCACTGTCTTTGCATGGGGGCCGGAGGACATGCCGGGAATCAGCCGAAGGGTCATCACCCACCGCCTCTCGGTGGACCCCTCGACAAAAGCAGTACAACAACGAAGAAGACCCCTCTCCGCTGAAAGGAGGGAATTTGTGAAGAAGGAGGTCGCCATGCTCCTCTCTATTAAGCACATCAAGGAGGTAAAATACCCCTCATGGCTGGCAAATGTAGTCCTCGCACAGAAGCCTCCTACCTTCCGCATGCGCGTGGACTACACGGATATCAACAAGGCGTGCCCTATGGACCCTTTTCCTTTGCCCAATATCGATCAACTTGTAGATGAAACCGCGGGG